GCTTCTGCAGGACTGAAACCTGCTGAGCCCCGGCTGTGCCGTGGGGTTGGTGCACAGGGCAGAAGTCCACCTCTGGCATTTACGGGAGATGCTGCTGTCGTTGACTTGTTGGGGTTTGCTCGTGGAGATGTGTAACTTTGGTATCCCTTGCTGCCAGGAGGAAGAATTCATTGACTGGTGGAGCAAATTCTATGCTTCCACGGGAGAGAGGGAAAAATGTGGCTGCTACTTAGAGAAGGGCTTTGACACCCTGAAGGTAAGTGGCCTAGGCTGGTTCTGGGTCATTGGACCTGCACTCGCCATGATTTTTTTCCACAAGCTTTAGTTTGTTTGAGTGTTTAGGCTTTATTTTTGTTCCAGGACAAAAAAAAACAAAAAAAAAGAAAAAAACAAAAGCAGTCAGAAGCAGTCATGTGTCCCGTAGAGCAGGTACTTTTTGGTTTTAAAAAATAACTCTTTTGAAAAGTCAGTTTTCTTTGTAAAATCCTTTCTGGTAACTTTCCACTTCGCAGCCTTCAAGGAATTGTCACTTTTCGAAGTGGCAGGGGAGGTGGGGAACTGCCACCCTGGGAAGTGTTTGGGAACAGCAAGGAATGCCAGAGGTTACTTAGAGAAGAGGGAGATTTAGGCACCCAGTAACAAGAATTGCTAAAATTAACACAGGAGCCCAAAAAGGACAAAAGTGGGGGAAACCTTGCCTGGTCTTATGGAAAACATTCCCAGCAGGAAGGTCTCTTTGGCGGATGAAAAACCCTCCGCAAGACGTTGGCTTAGTCTGGGTCTTCCATGATGTGCTGTTCTTTATTGCAGGGCTGCCAAAGGTCTGTTCTTCATCACTGTCCTGGGGGGCAACAAGGGTGACAGGACTGAGGAGCCTGGGTCAAGTCTTGTCCCAGATAGGTGGGGACACGCTGCTGGTCCCCCTCTGCCCGGGAGCAGTCCCTGTTCTTGTCTCCCATCTCTCCCTCCCCAGGTCTACGAGACGGAGCTGGAGAACGTGGAGGACTTTGATCATCTCTCTGACTTCTGCCACACCTTCAAGCTGTACCGCGGCCGCTCGCAGGACTCCAGTGATGATCCCTCGGTCGTGGGCGAGTTCAAGGTGTGGTGGTCGCTCTTCCTACCTGTACCTGGGAACACACTGCTGGGTGGAAGGTCTTGCTGCTGAGTGGGATGATGCCAGTTGGCTATTTTTGGATAGGACTTCAGTGAGAAATGGGCCATCAAAGCAGACCGCTGAGACCAGTATGAACAACCTGCCTGTGCAGGTCTGGCTGCTGCATTCCCCAACAGCGAGTGCGTTGCACGCTTCAAACGCAGCCTGGGCTGGGCCACCATCCTGGAGCAAAAACCCACCAGGAGCCAGAAACTGGATGAAAGCGATGGAGCACCTTCTTCCTCCGGAGTGGTGGTGGGAGCATGTGTGAGCGCTGAGGGTCTCACCACGCTGGAGCTCAGAGCTCTCCCTTTGGAGGAGTCTGGCCGGTGCGGAGGAGAGATGCATCCCTTGCGTTTTTTAACCCACTCGCAGCAATGTTTAGCCTTTTTGCAAGAGAAGAGGGATTAAATTTTTCTAGCTGTTGTTTTTTTAATTGCTGCTCTTACCCAGCACTGTCCTCCCCCAAACAATACCCAGAGACTGATTCCTGCCACTTCACTTGGATGAAATCAGCTCTGGTGAACAAAACGCTTGGAAATCTCTGCTTTTTCTCTCTCCTCCTCCTGTCCCTCTCTCAGGAACCAGCTGCCTCTTTCAAGAACCTTTAAAATTGTCCCTGCAGAGAAAGCCTCAGCTTAAACCTTTGCGGAGTTGAGTCACAGCAGGGCTCCTTCACACATCTTTAATAGCGTGAAGGCTCAAAGGACAGTGAAGTAGAAGAGGTAAAGGAAAAACAGGCTGGAGTGGCTCTGCCCAGACTTACAACAGGGTTTGTATCGATGTTCAGGCAAAGGGTGAATGATACAGGCAACTCGCCGCCCTGCTCCTGACTCCTTCGACCACCTGAGGACATGGTCTGGTCTAGTAGACAGAAGAGGGTCAGGGTCTGGGCTCTGTCCCCATGATTGCAGTAGCTGTAGATGCCCCATCCCTGGAAACATTCAAGGCCAGGTTGGATGGGGCTCTGAGCAACCTGATCTGGTTGAAGATGTCCCTGCTTATAGCAAGGGGGTTGGACTAAATGTCTTTTAAAGGTCCCTTCCCACCCAAAGCATTCTACGATTCTATGCAGCCATCCAGACTCTTGTTGCAAGCCCGCTCACACGGGACCCATCTGCACGTGTGGGTGTGCAAATGCAGCTGAACATGTCTGTCCTTCACAGGGTTCGTTCAAAATTTACCCTCTCCCAGATGACCCGCGAGTCCCTGTGCCACCTCGACAGTTCCACCAGCTGCCGGCCAGAGGACCCCAGGAGTGTCTTGTCAGGGTCTACATCATCCGGGCCTTTGATCTCCAACCCAAGGATGCCAACGGAAAGGTAGGCTGCTGGGGAAAGCTCTGGTGCACCTCAGTGTTGGGTGACAGGGTGGGCTCTTTCAATGGGTCAGCCCTAATTGATCAAAATTTGCATATATGGGTTAAAATTTCGAAACAACAGCAACAGCAAAATGGAGAAAATCTACTCCTTCTTTCTGCTTCCATTGCAACATCTGGGAATCCCAGGAGCTACCTCTTCCTCCATCCTGAGGGACTTTTCAGCAGGGCTAGTTATAATAGTTGAATGAGGGCTTGGGGCTTTTTTTTCATCCTGGTGCCAAAGGAAACAAAATCATGTCTTTCACATGGCTGCATTTTGCAACGCTTTGCCAGGCTGGAAGTAAAATTCAGTGCAAAAAGAAAATTGCGTTGGCTCAGAAAGAAAATGTTCATTTTGTTTCACTTTGCAAAAAATCTCAGGGAAAAAGCCTGCTTTACTCTCTTTGTTCCACTGGAAAACAGGGAAAAAGTTAAAAAAAAAGTGTGGGAAATATTTTGATGTGAACAAAACCCTCTGCTTTTTAATCTACCCAGTTTCTGAAACAGGACTTGCAATGAAAGTTTTTGATTTCTTAGAAATCTCCCATCAGAGACTCCTGCAGATCAAAAAGGAGGAGTAGAAAAAACGCTTTCCGTGCACTGAAAACCAAAACCAATCCAAGTTTGACCCACGGTCTTTCCCCTGTGCTGTGACGTCTCCTAAAGCTCAGCACCATCAAGGGGAGAAGAAAGGCGAGCCCTGGATGCCCAGACCATCTGTGCACGGCAGACCTTGCCCGAGCACTGCTTTTCCATCCTTTGCTTCTTAAAAAAATCAGCAAGTCGAGGAAAAGCGATGAGGAACTCTGCCTGGGTGTTTTTTCCAGGGAGCATAACTCGCCAATATCGTTCCCATTTGTGGTTTTTCATTTTTATGTGAGTGGAGTAAGGTGGTGGGTCCCTCTAAGGGACTGGACTCAAGCTGTGTGACATCTTTTAGGTGAACTTGTGGGTTTTTTTTTTGCTTTTTTATTTTTCTTCCCCTGGCAAAAATGCGGACTCAGGTTAATCTAACCATTTCTCAAATTTATGCTAGTTTCCCCGAATAGATTTAGTTGTGAGAGAGAAGCTTAAAAACCTGCTAAAAATGTAAAAATAGGTGATACAATTTTTAGATGCATAATGAATATTTTAAACTATGCTTCCATTTTAATTTTTTTAAAATTTGTGTCAGCGTCTTGGAAATAAATGGTTTTGAACCACATTTTTTGAAACAAAATGTTTTTCCTTTGCCATTTCAGTCCCCTACATTTCTAAATTTATTTCTGAGTAGACCTCAAACTTCAAAAATGATGACCATGCGGGAACTCATAAATAGGTGACTCAGATGAGAATGGGAACATCCTGAGGACTTCAGAGCAAGCCCAGTCCATCAAAGAAGCCATGAGTAGTTTTTTTCATGGTCTTTTATTGCTTTTCCATCCCATGGGCCTCAGAAGGGCTTGGACTTTTGTCCCACTCAGCTAACTGGTCCTTCGATCATCCTCAAAAAGGAGTTGCAGTGCAGATAGCTCTTGCTGATGGCCACAGATTTGTAGGAAGGAGTTAATGTCAGACTGTCCTATCCTTGGAAATGGGTGTTTGCCAAGGGTGGTGGAAGATCCTGCTCGCTGGGACAAGGGGAGACAGAGCTGTTCCTTTGCCGTTGATATTGCTGTGCACTGACTCTTTCTTGCATTGATTTTCATGCCCATCTGTAGTGTGATCCCTATGTGAAGATTTCCGTGGGAAAGAAGTCCATCAATGACCAAGAACATTACCTTCCATGTACGCTGGAGCCCGTCTTTGGAAAGTAAGTTTTGGTTCAGTCTGGAGTCCATGGGATTTTTTAACGTCATATTGAGGGAATGGAGCTGGGCCAGCCAGAGCTTCTCATTCCAAATGACATTCAAGGCCAAGTTGGGTGGGGCTCTGAGCAACCCGATCCAGCTGAAGATGTCCCTGCTCATTGCAAGGGGGTTGGATTAGATGGCCTTCAAAGGTCCCTTCCAACCCAAACCGTTCTGTGATTCCCATCGCGTGCTCTTAGCTCGTGTCCAGCGTTGCTGAATTGAGTCTGGCCTTGGCTCGACCACTGTCCTAACCACCGTGGGTCGTGTTCATCTTCTCCCTAGGGCTTTTGAGCTGTGGAGCATGGATTAGGTCTGCTCTGTCATCCAGAGAGACATCAGGAGGGATTTTTAGACCTGGGATTCCCCTGTGGAGGCGTCTGCCTCATCCAACTGATGGTAGAGAGAGTCTGGGGAAACTCTGCTCCTGATTTAGGCACTTTGGTTAAATGTCTGAAGAAAACACGTGATAAACAGAGGCCTGTTTGGTTAGACTGTGGCATGGGACACCTCAAAATCAGATGCTCTGAAAAAAGAATATCTATGAACATGATATGGGCTGGCTGAGTGGTTTGCCTTGCAGTAGGGCCACAAACTTGCGATAAAAGGAAAAAGATAATATTTTCAGAAAAGGGCATTCATCAGAAACAGAAATCACCACAGGGACCAGGCAAAGTGAAGGGAGGTGGAGGAAAACCTGGTGCTCAGCCTCCATTCAGAAAAGGGCATTCATCAGAAACAGAAAGCTCCACAGGGACCAGGCGAAGTGAAGGGAAGTGGAGGAAAACCTGGTGCTTAGCCTCCACGTGTCGATAGGACTTTGGTCTCCCAGAAAATCTGGGATTAGAGGTAGGGGCTTATGCTTCAGCACAAACGGGGGTCAAGCCCTACTCCACATGACATCCAGCTGGTTTTCTTATGTGGCTCTTGCTAGCTCAGGATGTGAGCATGGGGATGACACATCCCCAACAAAGCAAGACAGAGAGGGAGATACACCATCTGCAAGGATGGAGGAGAAGGGAGAGGGATGGTGAGGGTGAGCTGGTGAGACCTTGGAGGACAGTGTGCATTAGACAAGACGTTTCCCTTCTGCCAAAAGGAGATGGCAGTTTTGCCTTTCCTGTGGTGAATCCAAAGTGGTTGCTCCCCATCTAGCATGACAGAGCCCTGATCTCCGGTGGCCCAGGACCTACTGCCCTGTCGCAGAGCCCACAGCCAGTCTGGCAGTCCCTGGTGAGCTCTGCCAGGCAGAGCAGGTCCTCCTTTGCCAAGCCTGGCCGTCGGCCAGAGGCCGTCTAGACAGCGTGCTGCACCTCCCACCCAGTCTTTAAAGCGAGATGTAAAACGGAGGTCCTGGCTGCTGGCTGCTGTTAAGCCTCTCGTTTCACGAGCTTTTCCCTGGGCGGCTGGCTGCCATCCAGCCTTAGCTAATTACTTTCTGCTGACCCCAGTTCCTCCTGCAGTCTTAATTGGTGGCATAATCACTCACTTCCCCTCCTTAAAAGCTGCTGCGGGGTAGGTGCTGGCGGTGGGAATGGCCATCGTGTTGCTCCCCAGCGTCGCCTGCCTTTCGGCAGCAGGTGGAGGGGGTCCCAGCAGTGCTGGGTCAGACCTGGACTGTCCCACCTCACCCGGTCGTGCCACCTTCCACATTGCCAACGTCCACGAGCGCTGGCACGGTCTGGATCAGGGTGTTGTGCTTTGGTGGGGTCTTTGTGCTTTGTCTCTTGCTGTCCCTTATTTAAGGAGAGGAAGGAAGGTTTGCTCCTGCTTTATTTTATATGGACTGTGGTGTAATGATGACAGAGGAGACAGCGCAGAAGAAAGGTGCTTAGGACCAGGAAGAGAGGACAAGGAGGCTTTGGGGGGTCAGTCTCATGCTGACCACAAGCTTGGCCCAGGCAGGCTGGACTCCTGTTTTGGACATTTGCTCTTTGGGCTCGAAGCGCAGATGGTTTTCCAAAGCTGTCATTTCTTCCCCCTTCAAATTCCATGGCAAAGATGATTCCTGACTCTCGCCTGCTGCTCTTTTTCCCTGGATATTGCAGTGACCACCATCATGTCCAATTAGCAGACGGAGAAACTAAACAAGGGCAAAGTTTCCTCAAGAATAATTCAACCAGGCAAAAAGAAACTCAAGGCATGCATGCTTAGCTGCATACCCAGAAGCTAAGCTGGTACAACACAGCACCAATAGTATTGGACCGACAAGGCAAAGATGTGCAGAGGTTGTGCTGTCCTTCCTGGCACTGGTGGGTTGGGATGGTGTGTGCACTCAGCAGCGTGGACCTCCATCTCATGGGTATTTCTCGGCTCCCATTGCGCAGGATGTTTGAGCTGAGCTGCACTCTGCCCCTGGAGAAGGACTTGAAGATCACGCTCTATGACTATGACCTCCTGTCGAAGGATGAGAAGATTGGGGAGACCGTCATAGACCTGGAGAACCGGTTCCTGTCAAAATACGGGGCGCGCTGTGGCCTTCCACAAACCTACTGCGTGTAGGTACCCCAGTGGGTCTCCATAGCTGGGGGGGGCTGTGTGGTGCCGAGCAGGCTGCAGGGACCAGGGTGATGCCTTAGCCCATGTGTCTGCTAGTCCAGGGCTGTCCCAGCGGGACCTGACCAGTGCTACGCTTCACCGCAGAGATTTGTCTAGAGAGACAGGTTCACACTGGAGCAGCCCCACATTTGAGGAACTTCCCTGAGCCCTGGCTCTCCTCCAGAAGCGTGAAATGCTTCAAATAACAGAAGTCTCTTTGGGGAGCTCCTGTTACATCCCCGATGCCTCTTGGGCACACCATGGTGAGGACACCCCCCATGCACAGGGCCAGCGGAAGGGTGATGTGGTGGGTCTGGGGGGGGCTATCAGGGCACCCCCGCCCTGCAGGCTGGGGCTGAGTGGGCTGTGGGACACCTTCCTCAGACCAGCCCTCTTTGGTGTAGCACTGCTGTGGCCCCCTTGTTGAGGCTGGAAGATGTTTTATCGTGTGTCGAGCTGCTGTTTTCCCTCCTGTTTGGTTTCAGCTCTGGACCCAACCAGTGGCGAGACCAGCTCCGTCCTTCCCAGCTGCTTCACCTCTTCTCCCTGCAGCACAACTACAAGGCTCCCATCTACAAGTCTGACCGGATCATCTTCAGGGAGCAAGAGTACATCCTCTCTGAACTGGGTAAGCTGATGGGGCTGGTTTGGGGTTGCAGAGAACTTTCCTTTATGCGGAGCAAAGGATGGAGTTGGAGGTCATGAACATGTCATGGTGGGGGGTTATCGTGGAGGTTAGGAGTGGATGATGGGCCCGTTCTTGTCCTCCTCTCCTTGCTGCCCAGGTTGGCTCTGCCCCTTTCCCAAGGCTGGCTCTGCCCCACGGGCTGCAGGGTGCAGCTGGGTCTGCACCAGACCCCGAGGCTGAACCCAGACCCGCAATCACAGAATCACCGAATGGTAGGGGTTGGAAGGAACCTCTGTGGGTCATCTAGTCCAACCCTCCTG